TTTGATTCTAAATTTATTTAAGAAAGTATTATATATATCTAACATTTTATTCATTTTTGTATATTTCTAAAGCCATACTAAAGTATACTTATTTATTTTCTTATTTTCATATTTTTAGTTTAAATTTACATATGTATACTAAAAGTTTTGATGGTTATTACAAAATTTTCAGGTTTATTGGTGATAGAGAGTTAAATATATCAATTCCAATCATAGCACAACAAGATAATAAAGTTGAAAATATCTATTTCCATTATCTACTTTAGATGTTTGATTATTTTCTAATATATTCATGTATTTTTTTTTAATTATGCAATATTAAATAAAATAAATTATTGTAATACATTTATTAAATATATATTTCTTACTTTTTTCTTATCTTGAATAAATTTTGAAATTTATTTTTAATATATGTATCATTATATTTACTTTTTGTGATCTAATAGATAATTATATAAAAATCATTATACTGTTTATTTTATTTAAAATTTGAGGTTTCAGTATTTTTTTAAAATTGAAAATAATTTCGTTAAAACAAATTTGGTCCTTAAGATTAAAAAACAAAATCATATGGTTCAAGAAAATTAAATTTAGATAGAATAGAAAATTAGAATGAAACCTTACACTCATACTTAAATAGAGTGACATATAGTAGAAAATAACTATAATCAAAACAAAAATCATTTTATTAAATCCTATAAAAGATAAAACCATTAGTATAAAATCTAGCACTTGAATTTAAATTGATGAGTGAAATTAAAAAGAAAAAAGGATAGATGTTATCCTTAGATCTTTGATGATTTTAATTTGATTGAAGTTCATATGATTTTTATAATAAAATTAAATTTAGTTTGCCACTTGCAAAATAATATGAATTTGAACTATTATGTGGGAGTTTATATCACCAAACAAATAAATTATCTATGAGTTTATATCAACAATTTATTTTGTAAAAATAATAGATAACATATGTTTATTGATGTTTACATACATAAATAATAGTAAAGTAAAAAAAAAACTAAAATATGTGCAAATCCAAGATAATAAATCTTAAGAGCCTTTTAAAAAAATTTCAATCATTTATATTGAAACAAATGTCATCCACATCATTTTCATGTAGTAATTAAAGATTTTTCTATAATAAGATATAATAATGATATTTTATGTATTTTCTCATATTTTGTAACCTCCATACTAATAATTATCGTTATGTTGTTAATGCTCACACTAAATTGCAACAATACTTTAAATACAATTAATACAAAATGAATTCTACACAATGAATTCTTTGGAATGTAACATAACTTTTATGATATACATACAATTAACTTACTTATAATTGGCATTTAAACTTCTTCTTTTTTGTCATCCGAAATTAATTAGAGCTCAAAAGAGCCAATGCTGGGGAATGTTGTTTACATATGTGATATGAAACGGTTCTTTACAAATTTTTCGTGTCATATTATTCGCTTTTACATTAGCATTAGGAGAAATTAAAGATAAAGAGAAGGATGAGAATTCTTTCTTGTCGCTTTGGAATTCCTCCAAATATACAAAAAATACCGGCCATTCGGTTAGAGAAGTACCATCTTCACCAGATCAGAACAGTCTGTAGAACGCTACCTCTTGATCATCTACACCAATCATACACTTCATCGCCCAGAGAAGAGCCTCGACTTCTGTATTTAAACATAATTGTTAAAACTGAATAGTTGTAAAACGTAAATATGTTATCTTCTATAAATAGTAATATACACATATCACTAACTATCATATTCCAAATTTCATAATATTGATAAATTTGGGAAAATTAGAAATAAAGGATGTTTTAATGGATAAATGTCCATATATACTTTTTTTATAAAATCAAAACCCAAATTTAATACATATCACTAACTATCAAAAAGTAACTATCATATATACTTTTTTCATAATTATTTTTTTTGTTAGTTTTGTAAGAGGCTGTGAAGAGGAGATGACATATAACAAAGAAACCTTACTCACAATCAATCGTATGTGCTATTTCAGAGGTCTTTTAAAATGAGCGAGTAAAGAAACCCGAATTTTGTAATGCAACAAGAGAATATATACTAAGGATGATTTTCTTTGTCCAAAACAATCAATCTATATAAACCTGAATTTTGATTGACTCAAAATAAAATTGATATTTTTGAAGTGAGATTAAGAAGAAAATCAAGAAGACTAATGATGAGTAGAAGGAAAATACAATTGAATATGCTTCGAAACAACGTAAATGTTAAGTGGTAGTGGAAGCACACGATTGAATTGTATAAATGAATAATTCATCTCTCTTCACTTATCTCTTACAATATAATTCATCTTCATTCCTACATCTATTTCTTAAATTTTTTAAAAAATTACGGAATAAATTATTTTGTTATACATTTCTCAAAAAAATTATGATTTTACAAGCAACATAAAATAGTTAGTTTATTAACGGAGAATAAACTAATAAAATGATGTTCAACATTTGTTACGTCATTTATGTGATTTTAAATATTTTCATTAAGTAGATAAACAACTTCGGATCAAGTTGTATCAAAATATAAAGGTAGACTCAATTCAAAATTCAGCCCAAACCCAATATGTATAACATTTGGTTAGGATATTTGCATTACGTAGAAAATAATAGGAAATTTTTTGTATTACCATTATATTTAAATTCTTTAAAATGCAACAATATCTTTTAAAATTGGATAAATTTAGAATATCAACTTTACTATTATAATATAAATTATATATTGAAAACAATTTAACTTAATTTTCATAGTAGGGTTTAATATTTTCACATGTTAACAAAATAAGTATTATTTATGTATACGTATTATATTACAATAATCATTAATTTATCATCAACACTCTTAAAATTTCTAATTGGCATCAAATATTGTATTGATTAAAAGAAGTAATATAGTTAATTATTTTTTTATAAACATAAATATCATTGTATATAGATGAATACAATTCAAATTTTATAGAAAAAAATCAAATTTGAATTTACTGTCATTTATTTAATTATTTTCTCTTAAATTTTAAATTCAAACAAAAAAATAAGTAAAATAAATAGCAAACATATAACATAGTATGCAACAAACAGCGAGTATCGCGGCTAAATAACCTAGTATGGATTAAGGTTTAGCTTTTACAATTAAACCAAATCATATGTTGGTTTGGGTGTATAAAATAGGGACTAGAGTTTAGATTTTATAATTAAACATAATTATATGTCGATTTGGGTTTATAAATGAGGTTTAGAGTTTAGATTTTATAACTAAGCAAAATTATATGTCGGTCTGGGTTTATATAAGAGTAGTTAAGGTTTAGATTTTTAATTAAATAAAATTATATGTCGGTTTGGGTTTATAAAAGAGTGGTTAGGGTTTAGATTCTACAATTTAGTGAAATTATATGTCGGTTTGGGTTTATAAAAAATATTAGAGTTTAAATTTTACAAATAATTCAATTTAGGGGTTTTTATGAATTTATTTATTTATTAATTTAGATAATATTAATTGTTTTAATCATATATATGAAAGGAGACTATCTCTCTCCATCCTTCCGCCACGTCAGCATTTTTGGCTCTTCTGAAGATGACACATCAGCTTTTTATTCGTCCAATAAAAACATTTCATTAATACACATCAGCTTCTAATTATAAGTGTCAAATGGAGTAAACAAATAGCCCATGACGGATGGGCCATATGTGTTTTAGAATCTATTAGAGTGGAATATTAATGGGTCGAGCCCATTTCAGTGATGGCTTAATGCTTTTAAACCCAACAAATATTCTAATTCCCCACAAGATTTTAACAAAATAAATCTCTCTCACTCTCTGCTCGATCGTTCAATATGAAAGAAGAAGAATCTCAAGGCAAATTTCTCGACTTCGTAAATTCCATTCTTCATAGTCTCCCTTTCTGTACATCATATTTCTTTAGAACAAACGTTTTCTACCTTCTAACTGCCAGAATGGAGGCCACGATAGAAGTTACACAAAAACATATTCACACTCTCAGCTTATGGGATTACAAACTTTCACTACTATAAACTCTATAAATACTCAAACAGACATTGTTTATAACGGATTATATGTGTTTCAGACAGCATCAATAAATATTTACCAAGGTGCAAAGAACATAAAAACGATACAGAACCACCATCATGTACAACCTACACGGGAATTACAAAATGAAAACATCAGATACAACTCAAGTTGACAATATCGATATACACAACATTGAATAGCTACTCACCTGAATTATCACTGAGGTGGTGCTATTTGGAACAACTGTCAAAACACAAATATTCTGTAACGTCCTTTTGAGTATCGTTTTATACTCCCTTTCAACTTTTCCTATCAATATTCAAAGCAAAAGTAATTCAGATCTAAAAACAAGAATCACCTGTACGACATACTCAAGCAACAAAACAAGCCTTCTTCTGAACAACGAAACGCATTTACGATTACCAATCTATCCGGCTTAAGGCTTCCATATGACTTCAAAACAAGCCTTCTCAGCATTTTCGTTCTTCTTCGTTCCTGCTTTAGGTCTGTATTCTGCAGCTAGAAATTTTGTATCCCTTGAAAATATAAATGAGAGAGTTCAATGAATCCCATTCAAAAAGGATAAAAAAACTATGTACCTATAATAGATATTGATAAAGCTGATAAAGTACCTTCTGACCAACTAGCAGAGCCATGAGGACGATGAAGGATATTACGGGAACAAGCAAGAGGTCTCAGCTGACAAGTAAGTCTTTTTTTTTGGGTTATATTTCAAATCAGAAAATAGATCTAATCTTAAAAATTGTAACTACATAAGATAGTAGTTTTATTAACTACATAATAACAAATAAAAAATAAACATAAATTAGCAAGAACAATCAATAATTTTTTCTTCACAATTTTCAAAACAAATCCACGCATAGCGTGGGTATTCATCTAGTACTAATAAAAGGGACTATTTGAGCCCTCTGAGAGTGTCCACGTCAGATTTTTCCTAAACACTATGTGAAGATGCCATGCCAGCTCTCCCTTTTTCCTCAAAACAAAGCACTCAAAATTTGACCACGTGGCATAAGACAATGATCAACCCCATCCTGAACGATTGCTCTTCCAGTCTTCTCAAGTTTTTGGTAACGCATCTTATAACCTTTAAGCTATTCACATATCATCTATTAACCTTCTTAAGATTCTTTATCGAAACGTCATTTTCTCTCATCTTCTCCGCTAAAGTCTCCATCCAGATTGAGATCTACAAATCTTACCCCATCAGGCCATCACGCATCTCTCTCAATTCCGCCTGAGTTTGAATTCTCGGGGTCGAGGATTCCGGGATCAAATAATTCGAGTGGCTTTCTGTAGAATTCGAAATCATGTCCGATTAGTGTATCATGCTGGTAATTTAATCATCTTTGACTTTCTTAATGATTTGTCTTTTTGGTGATTCTCAGAGATTTAAAATATTAGAGGTTGCAATGTGAATTCGTATATGAGTGTGAAAGCAGACCAATATGTAGTATTTTTATGGCTAGAAGACGAATCTTATTGACATTTTAGTAGAGAAATTCGTGGACGTGGTAACTCAAAGCCGTGACGTATGAGATTGTTACTGAACTTACCAAATTTGAGATCACTAACTTTCAAGTTTTGAATGACTTCTACTCTGACGACAAGAAAAGCGTGTACACAAATGTAAATAAGACAAATGTCTTTTACCATCCTGAAGCGTTGTTGATCAGCAATCTAGAGATGGACATGGTAAGTACCTTTGTTTTGTTTTGTTGTTTCCTCTCTGCTTTCAGTGTGATTGGATTTGGCAGATATTTTGTTACTTGCTTCATTTGTTCAGCACTAATGTAAACATTACAAATGCAGGCTTTAAAACTCTTGACAAACCGCTACATGATTTCTAACAAACAAGGACCCACTATTATGATGGTCACATTTACTCTGTTTTAGCTCTTACGTTTCATTTAAGTTGGTAGAAGATATCTTCTGAATCAAAATACCCTATGTAGTTGTACACACTTGAGATTTGCCTATGTATATAAATTCCTTACAGATTGGTAAAAAAAGTGGTGGCCGCCAGACCATTTAACTCACATTTAGTTGTTAGTGCGTCTACGTATTGCCGAATTTCCAGTTTGGATTATGACCATAAACATGCTAGATTATTTAGATTATTACTTATGCCTTTTGAACTTCACATGCTAGCTATTTTCATTCGTTTTCCCCTTAAGCTCCGACTTTTACCATTTATCATCTCACCATAGGGAAAGCCAAAAATTATAAATAAATTTCAGTTAGGTAAGGGTGCAAGAAACCCAAACGTTGTTTCCGATCTCCAAAGTGTAAAAAAAACCATGGTCGCGGCCGGGGAAGAAGGAACTGCTGCAGAAGAAATAATGGAAGCAAATAGGTCAAGAAACCGTGGTTTATTCAACTCAAGTCATGAAGGTTAAAACCTCAAGCTACAATAATTAAATTAGCTTTCCCTGATTCATTTTTGGTTTCCCTTCCAGAGTGTTAACAGGGAGGAACCATTATCAGAGCTAGGTTCCATGCTGAAAGCTGATGTCTAAAGATGGATTATGTGGATGAAGAACTGGAGAAGGAGTTTTCTATGGTTACATAGAAGGGGAAAAGTATGTTTTAATTCTGGCTATGAACTTGAAGAGCAGTAAAAAGGTAGTGCCAAAGAATATTGGTGATACATTTCATCACCAGATGTCCAGCTCAATGCAAAGAGAACTCTTCGTGAGGTCAACTTTCTTTCCCACTTTCACCATGAGAATGTATATTTGATTTTATCATTGCTCTCTCATCGAGTTCATAAAAGCTTTGAGTTTGATCACAACCAATAATTAATATCAGCTGACAGCTGCATGTTCTATAGATTGTTGGAATCAAATATTTGATACCACCTCGAGAAAAATGTTTTCTGAGATCCATGTTTACAATGCATATGAATAGATGGGTCTTCTCCTGCATCAAAATGTGCATGGAAGCAGGGCATATCTACGAAGGAGGAAGGTCGGAGGTGGTGTATAAGGTCAACGAAAGGATGATAAAAAAAGTTTCAGTTTGAGAGCTCCGCTGTGAAAATGGAGGAGAAGAGAAGATTCGAGGATGAAATGGAAGTGGAGACATGCTGAGATTGTCTGTGATGTTAAAATGGTAGACATAAGTTGGTATAAGTAGTATTTTAATGTTTGCATGTTAACGTTTTCTAAAATATTAGTGATACACGTATTCTAGCAATTGGAATTGGTCAAAATCATATGTAACAAGTTTTATGTTAATCACAAGCATGCTTCTATGTCCTAGATATGATAGATGTATAAATCACAAGTAAAATAAATCATATTCTTCCTTCTTGACATGATATCATATTCTTTCTAATATATTTTAAACGAATTAAAATAAAATACTTATATACATATGAAAACCAAAATTAAACATCTATTATATACACTTCCAAAACCAACTTAAAAATCTTAATTGTCAAAATCTATGTCCGGGCGTAGCCCGGAATAACCCCTAGTTTATTTAATTAGCTGACATGACAAATTCTAATTGGTTAATTAAAAGGGGTGAATGAAAGATGTTATGTAACGCCCCGACTGTCCCTACTAGGCCCACGTCCTCTCTCGGGCCCATGGACCCATCCCTATCCGATGGCCGGTCTGCTACGTCCGGGAGGTTTTAAAGACTTGTTTACCGAGCCTACAAATCACCACATGATCTTTCTCTGTGTTTTGTCTTCACTCACACAGTTTCGACAATCACTTCTCGGACGGTCACCCATCCTGAAACTACTCCAGTCTAAGCACGCTTAACTATGGAGTTCTCTCAAGACAGTTGACCGAAAAGATAAGTGCACTTTGGTGACATAAGTGGCCAAATCAATTCTCTTAAACCTCTCTGCATTCACCACAATATTCCTGAAACCAAGGTATTACAATTCACTTCCACTAAAAGATCGCAACGTCCTCGTTGCGCACCAAGACCGTCACCCCCTACGGTGTGAGCCTTCTTGACTTCACACTCGTCTAGGTTCGTCTCTGATACCACATGTAACGCCCCGACCGTCTCTACTAGTGGGCCCCACGTCCTCTCTCGGGCCCATGGGCCCACCCCTATCCGATGGCCGGTCCGCTACGCCCGGGAGGCTTTAAAGACTTGTTTACCGAGCCTACAAATCACTACATGATCTTTTCCTGTGTTTGGTCCTCACTCACACAGTTCCGACAATCACTTCCCGGAAGGTCACCCATCCTGAAACTACTCCAGTCTAAGCATGCTTAACTATGGAGTTCTCACAGGACAGTTAACCGAAAAGATAAGTGCACTTTGGTGACATAGGTGGCCAAATCAATTCTTTTAAACCTTTCTGCATGCACCACCATATTCCTGAAACCGGGGTGTTATATGTTCACCCTTAGGGGTCCACCACAAAAAAAAAATTAAACATTTAATTATAAAATCTAAACCCTAACCACTCTTTTGTAAACTCAAACCGATATATAATTTTGTTTAAAAATTAAAATCTAAACCCTAATCCTCTTTTGTAAACCCAAACTGACATTTAACCTCGTTTAATTGTAAAATCTAAACCCTAACCGTTCTTTCTAAACTCAAACCAATATTTAACCTTGTTTAATTTTAAATCTAAGCCCATTTATGGAACCGAAACAATATTTAACCTTACTTAATTATAAAATGTAAACTTTAACTCTCTTTTATAAACTCAAACCGATATATAACTTCGTTTTGGTGGCATATCAGATTTTACAATTAAATGAATTTGTTTTTTATTATTATTCTGATTGGTTAAAAAAGGGGGTGAATCTTTTTATTCCCCTAGGAGTGAACCCAAGTATTTTTCTTATATGGCAGGATGGGCTGTTGTTATTCCCCTAGGAGTGAATTAGTAACCTTTGTTACAAAATTTATTTATTTTTGAATAATTATTTAGTACTTTATTTATGGTTTTAACTTTTAATTATTAAGCATGTTCAATTTTTCTAATATTATCATAATAATATATTGTTGTTTTTATTTCTTTTTTTTGTAATATTTTTTATTTATTTTGGTCATTTTTTTATTTAACTGCTACCGCACCTATCTTTATCCGGGTTGCAGTTCGCTTTCTTATACTCAATCATACACACCTATCTTTTCATCTTGTAGGATGGGTTTGAGTTTATAAAAGAGAGTTAAAGTTTACATTTTATAATTAATAAAAATTTTAAAAAATATTAACCACCGCTTCAACACGGTTTAAATCCTTAATTTATTATTTTTTAACACCACCAATATTAGACACATCAAATCAGACTGATTTAGATAAGATTATATAAAACCAAAAATGTCTCGCGGTATACTATTATTTAATAAAAATTATAAACTATAAAATATATATTTCTTATAATATGATACAATTTACAAACTTTTATATATAATAAATAATCACTAAATTTTAAAATCACTACTTTTAGAAAACAAATCGTCGTCTCGCGGTGTACCGAGAGTTAAAATCTAGTTACTGTTATAAGTGAATGGTGTGTGTGTGTTTTTTTTGTTTTTGCTTCTTTACTTACCAAATTTCAAAATTTTGATTTCTTTTATATATTCATTTTATGATTAGTCAATAAAATATATTTTAAAATAGTTACATAGCCAACAACAGTATAAAAAGTGAAATTAATAATTGCGGAAGAAGTATAAGATGGGAGATTTAAGGGATGGTACATGGCTTGTTAAGAGGAGTACTTGGTCGCCGACTTGGAGAAGTATCATCTCGGGAAAGCAGGAGGTGGTGGTGCCGGGTATGTGCTGGGTATTGGGAGATGGGAACCAAATAAGATTCTTGACTGATAAGTGGCTTGCTAATAAGCGGTTGGCTGATGAGGAGGTTGGGGTTTTATCACCGGAGGCTGAGAGAGTGTTGGGGAAGGACCTACGGCGAGATGGGAGTGGATGGGACCTGCAGAAAATCACGCCGTTGGGTTACTGAGAATACACGGCTGGAACTGCTCTCGGTCGTGTTGGTTAATGTAACCGGTGCTAGAGACAGGATTGTGTGGGGAGGGAGCGTGAATGGGGAATTCTTGGTTAAATCAGCCCACACCTTGTTGACAACAGAGGCGAGTCCGAAAGCAAATGTGGCGGTTTTTTATGATCGGGTTTGGAAAGTGATAGCGACGGAGAGAGTACGGACTTTCCTTTGGTTAGTAGAAAATCAAGCCTTGATGATGAATGCTGAGCAGTTTAGGAGACATCTCTCTAATATGGAAGTGTGTCCAGTTTGTAAGGGTGGTAGCGAGACGATAATTCATATCCTCCGGGATTGTCCCAGAATGCTAGGAATATGGCACCGGATTGTGCCCCAGCGGAGGAGAAATAGATTTTTTGATCAGTCCTTACTTGAATGGGTTTACGGGAACTTAGGTAATGATGGAGAGGTATATGAGGGCACTTGGTCCACGATCTTTGCATTGGGAGTATGGTGGGCTTGGAAATAGCGGTGCGATAATGTGTTTGGTAAAAATGGTAAGTGTCGGGATAGGATAAGATTTGTGAAGGAGAAAGCCAAGGAAGTGACCATAGCTAATCGGAAAATTAGAGAGGCCAATCCGCGGGTGAGCAGAGTGGAAGCGATGGTTGGCTGGACGGCACCATCAGCTGGGTGGATGAAACTCTTTCCGTTTCACAAAGAGTGTCATTTTGACACATTTCACACAAATTAAAAAAATCTAGAATTATACATATATGCACTTATTTAATAAGTGATTAATGATTTAAATTCAATGAAAAGTATCTTTAAGTTGAGGGTAAATCAGGAAATTCTGTGTAAAAGTCACATTGAAAATGTAGAATGACACTCTTTGTGAAACAAAAATCAAACTCTAAAATGACACTCTTTGTGAAATAGAGGGAGTATTGGATTACACATTTTTCTGGTTTTACTTTTAAGCTCATAATAAATTTTAGTTAAACCGAATTAAAACGGAAAAATATTAATTTGGCTAAATTCGAAATCAATTTTAACCCGACCCGTTTAACCCGACCCGTTTAACCCGAAGACACCGTATGCCCAGGACTACGCACTACGTGCAGGTCATCGAGTCTTTTTAAAAATATACCACGCCAAGAACGATAGCTTCCCATTTCTGTTTAAACACACCACCCAATTACAAGTTAATGTAACGTACCACCTAATTCTTTAAACGACATCGTACCAAACCTCTCTTATCATTTATCAACCCACCACAAACATTATTACTGCCACAAATTTCAAAATCCCTAAAAAGCTTCAAAAAAGTCACCAACAATGGCGGAAACCGAGACCGAGACGATCACCACCACCACCACCACCACTTCTCCTACGGCGATCTCAGAAACCGAAACCTCCACCACATTACCAACAATGGAGACGGAGAAGAATCCAAATCCAGTAACCATTTCGCTCCGAATCTGGCCACCGACTCAAAAAACTCGCGACGCCGTCATTAACCGTCTGATCGAAACACTATCAACCGAATCAATCCTCTCTAAGAGATTCGGAACTCTCGATTCCGAAGAAGCTTCCTCCGTCGCGAAATCAATCGAAGACGAAGCTTACGCCGTCGCTTCCGCCGCCGTTGTTAGTGATGACGACGGGATCGAGATTCTTAAAGCTTATTCTAAAGAGATTAGTAAACGTATGCTTGAATCTGTGAAAGCTAAGACTAATGTGGCTTCTCCTCCACCAAAGGATGGTGATGGAACTCCAGATTCAAGTGAAGATGTTAAAGACGATGATGCGAATCCAAAGCTTGACGAGGCTTGAATATGGTGTTGTTCTCTTATCTCTCTAATTATCTTTTAAACGATTATTATCTTTGTAGTGTGACTTGTTGATTTCGCATTTCTTACTAATATGAATTTGTGTTCGCTTTGGTTTTGAGTCTTTTGATGTTGGATTCTGGATGATTGTGCTTTCTTAATCATGGTAATTAGCTTGAAGCTTGAATATAGAAAACCAAAAACAAAACAAAAAAATTGGATGGTTTTACTTCTTTAATCATGGTAATAAACTCGTTAATTAGATGATTTTGCTATCTTAATCATAGTTTTTAACACGAGTTTGCTTCTTTTTTTTTTAACATGGTAATTAATTAGCTCAGGCTTGAATATATAAAACCAAAAAAATAAAAAATAAAAAATAAAGTTGGATGATTTTGCTGTTTTAGACATGTTAATTAACTCGTTAATTGGATGATTTTGCTTGCTTAATCATGGTAGTTTACTTGTTGATTAGAAGATTTTTCTGTCTTAATCATGGTAATTAACTCGTTAATTGGATGATTTTGCTTTCCTAACCATGGAAATTAGCTCGAGGCTTGAATATAGAATCATGGTATTGAACTAAAAAAAAGAATGAATGATATTGCTTTCTTAATCATGCTATTAACTCGTTAACACATCATTTTGACACATTCGTTAGAGATCACATGAATCGAGAAACTAGACGACAGTCTTTGTGAGATAAATAGCGTTAATATTATGGTTGTGATGACTAATGTGCCTTTGATGTGTCCATTCATGTTAAACTTGTTCATGACCGGATGGTCTAATAGCCGTTAAACTTGTTTATGTTCATTGGGCTGTCAAATAGTTTTTTCTTGGAACTAGAAATCTGCTTTTGATGTGTCCTGACTCTAAGACTCTTTCTTTGTCTTTAACCTTTATTGGTTTTGGGGCCTTGGAATTTGAGAGTTAGATTTTGAACCCCACTTTTTTTTTTTGTTTTTTATAAGAAATGAAAAATGTTCAAGCTCGATGTTTGGGCAGTGGGTCACCTAAATATTCCTTTATTGTTCCTCCTTTTGATACAAGAGTTTCTTCTACGTTGTAAAAACGTGATCCCGAATTTTGGTTTTGGTTGATCACAAGCTAATACTTTCGTACCAGTTTCTAAGTGTGGGCATGGGAATGATACTTTTGAATTACGGAATATCCGTTATCCGACCTGATTCTTATGAGTAATAATTTTTTGGTTCCCAGACTTACTCTAAGCTAGACAAAATTCACTCTTTCAAAGTTATTAGAAAGATAATAAAAGAATCCTATCCTTTTTATTTTGTTCAAACCAATCCCCCTATCCTATGGGAATGCTTTCCTAAACTCTTACCCATATCCGATTTAAGAAATATGTGTATCCGGACAAACATGTAACCTTTAAAAAGATGACAAACATGTAACTTTTACAGTTCCAAATAACCAACAAATAGGTAACTCAAGGGAAAACATGGAAAGATTCAACTTATACACCGTGATGGAACCTAATCATATGCAAGCCAGTCAACAATCATGCAATTTTGATCTAAGAGATGTTCCTAGTAGCTCGATGCCAAAATTACGGATTATGGATTTTTGTAAACTAATCAAACCTGGAATTATTTTCTAAGAATTTCCTTGAGCCAAACTCTAATCCCATATGAATTTAAACCGATTTTAATTTCTCTGCTACTTTAATTTTCAATAAATTTCTGTTTAGTTTAATTTCAAAACCAATGATCTATTGTATACTCGTGAGAGTTTTGTGGAATTCGACCTTTAAATATTATAGTGATCTCTTTATTGAGAGAGTAGCTTGATGCTAATTTGACGTTATCATTGGTGAAGCTCAAATTTTGGTAACTAACAAACCCCCGCATTCCATAATGAAATTTATATTTATATATAAAATAGCTCAAAACTCAAGACTATAAAAACTATGAAACAATACACTAATTAGTTCATTGCTATGATATTTGAGTGAATGTGTATATATATTGTCCATCTTTTTATTCACTATACTAGGTTATGAACCCCCGCGATATCGCGGGGGAACTCATTTTCAACAAATATATTTTATTGTGTTTATGTATTAAATTATTATGATAATATATTCAAAAATTTGAATTATTACATAAAATTAACTATGTTTTAACGTAAATATTTTCCAAAGATGTTAAAAAATTTATGAATAAAAATGAAAAAAAAATAATTATGATTAAAAATACTTTTGAAACATTTTTTGTGAATGTAAAATTATTTATAAGTGACAAAATATATCTCACTTTCGACCAAAAAAAGGTGACAAAATACATAACAAAGAGTTATAATATAGAGATGAAAAATTCTAGCCAGTCAAAACCCAAAAATTCAGATGGAGTCTGTACTCAGCATGACTTGTAGGTGACTAAGAACTTTGCTCGAGAATTGGTGTTTTTTGTTTGTCCATTGTTCTTTTAAATATAAAATTAATATTTATTTTATTATATATATTCGAAAGTATATAAAATTTGATGATTTAAATTACATCTATAACAAACAAATAAACATTTACAAGATCTCATTTATTTATATTTAAATTAACTGAGTAATAAAACTTCTCTCTTGAATATTCATGTGACGAATTGGAACCATTGCTTTTTTCCTAATAATGGAGATGATTTCTGGATTACTATACTATTTGAAACGGTTTATTTAATGATTATCACATTCAAAGCGCCCAATCACAAGCGTCACATGAGGATGTCTTCTCATATTCCGACTTTGTAATAGTGCTAACTCAACATCAATATTTCGTTGTATACAACCCATATATATTGCTTTAAGATAGAAAGCATCATTGTTACCATATAAAATAGTTAAATAACAAAAAAGTTACTGTATAATCCGTCAAATTCTAAGAAAAAAATTGTTGGTATTTTCATTAGAATTTTATATTTAAAGTTGATTAAAACTTCTCCATTTTTATAATCACTTCAAAAAACGTTAGTCAAATGAGAAGAATTTTTTTAATATTAAGATTATGTATGTTTAGAAATAGTTTAGAAATAGTTTAGAGAATAAATAACTTGGAGGCATTTTACAGATTTTTTTTGGATTTATCATGAAACAAATAATCTATGTTAAAGAACAAAAGTTTGGGAACTACTTAGGAAGAAGGACAAATACATAGAGTTCAAATGTCACAAATACTTAAATAAACAATTATTCATACAAAAAGTTGTGACGAAAAAATACAATGAAATATAGTGAAGAGACGTAACTTTAAATGAATAGATGCAACTATAAAGATACAACCGTAAACTAAAAAAAATATGACTATAATTTAACAAATAGAACTGTCCCAAAAATATTTCCGTCAATATTTAACGAAAATATGCAATAAAAAGACACAACTTAGAAAAAATAACCGTCAATATTTTACCAGAAAGTTGCGATAAAAAGACACAAACGAAAAAAGTTACCGTCAATATTTTAACTGAAAATTGCGATAAAAAGACACAACCAAAAAATAGCCGTCAACGAAAAAAATTAACTGTCAATATTTTAAAGAAGAGTTGCGATAAAAAGATACAACCAAGAAAAAATAACCGTCAATATTTTTAACGGAAAGTTGCAATAAAAAGATACAACAGAAAAAAAATGATCGTCAATATTTTAACGAAAAGTTGCGATAAAAAGACACAACCGAAAAAAATAACCGTCAATATTTTAACGAAAAATTAAGATAAAAAGACACAACCGAAAAAAATAACTATCAACGAAAATAACTGTAATTATTTTAACGAAGAGTTGCGATCAAAAAGAGACACCCGAAAAAAAATAACCGTCAATATATTAACGAAAAGTTGCGATAAAGATACACAAACGTAAAAAGTAACTGTCAATATTTTAACGGAAATATACGGTAGAAAGACACAAAAAAAAATAACCGTCAATATTTTAATGAAAAGTTACCATAAAAAGACACAACAAAAAAATAACCGTCAACGGAAAGAGTAACCATAATTATTTTAACAAAGAGTTGCGATCAAGAAGACACAACCAAAAAAAATAACCGTCGATATTTTAACGAAAAGTTACGATAAATAGACACAACAAAAAAATAACCGTCAACGGAAAAAATAACCGTAATTATTTTAACAAAGACTTGCGATCAAGAAGACACAAACGAGAAAAAATAACCATCAATATTTTAACGAAAAGTTGCGATAAAAAGACAAAAACGTAAAAACTAACCATCAATATTTTAACGGAAAGTTACGATAAAAAATACACAACCGAAAAAATAACCGCCAACGAAAAAAGTAAACGTCAATATTTTAGCGAAGAATTGCGATAAAAGACACAACTGAGAAAAATAACCGTCAATATTTTAACGGAAAAGTTTTGAAAAAGACAAAACAGAGAAAAATAACCTTTAATATTTTAACGGAAAGTTGCGATAAAAAGACACAACCGAGAAAAATAATCGTCAATATTTTAATGGAAAATTGTGATAAAAAAGTCAAACGAAAAAAGTAACCGCCAATATTTTAACGGAAAATTGCAATAACATAACCGAAAAATAACCGTTACCAAAAAATTAACCATCAATATTTTAACGAAGAGCTGCGAGAAAAACACAACCGAAAAAGTAACCGTCAATATTTTATCGGAAAGTTGTGATAAAAAGACACAACCGTTTAGAACTGTTAAAAAAAACATAAATATTTAAACGAAATGTTGCAATAAAAAGACGCAACCATTTAGATGTGCAAATGGTATTTATTGGAAACGACATAACCGTAAAAAAATAACCGATTAAAACGAAAATTGCGATAAAAAGACGCAACCAAAATAACCGTAAAAAAAATAACCGATTTAAACGAAAGGTTGCGATAAAAAGACGCAACCATTCAGATGTGCAAATGGTATTTATTAGATTGCTATTATATATAGATTACCTGTGTATATATATTGTCCATCTTTTTATTCACTATATTACCGGTATGATGCGAACTAATTAGGAAATCCATTTTCATTCGAATCATAATGTTTTCTCCATCCAATAACCATTACTTTACTATTAGTAGAAAAAAAATCCAAATGTATACATACGATAATGGATGGATAAAGCTGTTTTTCTCATAAATATATATTTTTTTTCTTTTTGCTAGGAACTTCTTGTTACGCGTTACATAAGAATAATTTTTGTGTTTTCTTTTCTATTTTTCTGGCTGAAGCAAACTCTTTCGATTTGTTTTTTTGAATTGAAAACAAACTCTTTCGATTTACACAAACAAAAAAAACTAATACAACGAAAAAAAACTATCGACCAAAAGTGGTAATTATCAGTGACCACGTCCTCTTTTGCTCGGTCCAGACGCTACCGGTAAGCAAAGCTCTTCCCCAAAAGACGTTGACTCGAGTTCTTCTTCACCTTCATGGTCGCCGAAGATTGATCATGTCCGTTAATATCTCTGAACGGCTTCAATCGTAGGGCTCTGCCATCAACTCTCTGAAACATTAATGACGAGAACACCAAAAACAAGATCAGAAATACCACAAACACATTCTTCTTTTCCATTTTTATAACTTTTTTTGTTTCTTTTACTAGCTGATCTTCTTCTCTCTCTTTATACTTGTTCTCTTTTTTCTTTGAGATTAAGAAGATTGGCTTCGTGATTTTTTGTATATATGCGATTGTGTGTGCGTGTGTAAGCGAAGGGCATTATTTCTTGACCAAGAATGTTTGACTATTTGATTTTGTGTATCGCGTTTTTACATATTTAATTGAAGTCTTCATGTTTTCAATCTTTTACTATTTAGTATTTATATATAAGACGGACAAAATAATTGACGTGTATTCATATTACAAGTCGAACGAGTTTCTCCAACTACTTGCTTCGGCCACAAGATATGTTTGTTGAACTCTATGACTCTCATAAAAAGTTTATTAAAGTCATTAGTTTTTAAGAGAGAATTAGTTATAAATTTATGTTACAATTGTGAGAGATAGTCGTCGATGTTGCGGTGATGAGATTGATAATTTCAATAGTGTTTGTAAACTTGACCAAAAAAAAAAGGGTAAATGTATAGCTGAAATATTGAGAAATATGTGGTGAAAAGAAAAAAATCTCACAAAAGTAAAATTTAAAAGTAAAAGAAAAAAAGGAATGATTGACATTCACAACACGACTAGTTGTGTCACCTTTGATTTTTTGGTTTGCATTTTAGCTACCGTTAAGTCGTGAGCCGTCAAAGTCTAAAGATTAAGAAAACGGCCTAGTTTTGAATTCTAAAACTAACATTATTTTACCATTACTATTTCATTTGGAAAGAAAATATCACACATTTACATGTACTGGACCGATAAAGCTAGGAACTTAATGTTACACGTTAAATCTCCTTGAAAGAATGAGATATAATCAATCTCTTCTTTTACTTCTTTGGCTAAAACAAGAAAACTTTCGATTTACACATTATAAATAATCTAACAAAAAGGAAAAAGAAAACATCGGAAAAAAAAAAGAAGAAGTAGCAATTGTTGATCAGTGACCACTTCCTCTTTTACTCGGACCAGACGCTAACCGGTAAGCATAAATCTTCGGCAAAGGAGTGCTCGAGCTCTTCACCTTCATGGTCGCTGAGGATTGATCATGGTCGTTAACGTTGATATATCTAAATGGCTTTGATCGTAGAACTCTGCAATCAACTCTTTCAAACATTAACGACGAACCCACAAATAATAAGATCATACACAGCACAAAGACATTCTTGTTCTCCATTGTTATAACTTTTGTTTTTAATTCTCTTTCTCTTTGAGATTAAGAAGAATATTTATGTGATTGTGTCTGCGTGTGTAAAGCAAAGCGCATTAATTTTTGACCGAGAATGTTTGACTATTCATCTTTCTTATCGCGTTTTTACGTAGTATTTAATTAAATTATTCATATTTAATGTTTTAATATATAGTATAAGCTAGATCAAACAGTTGATGTGTGTTCTTCATATTACTAGTGAACTCGGTCTCTATGACTTTCTTAAAAAGGTTGAAAAAACATTTGTTTTGTAAGAAATCAAAAGTAGGAATTGAAAATAATCAAATAGTTACCAAACAAATACGAAATGCATTTACAGATTTTTACTATTTTTACCATTCCACTGGAAGAAAAAACAATAAACATTTACAGTCAATGGATAAACTAAGAAACTCCTTGAAAAAATAATATCTTCTTCTTCTTCGATATTTTTTTTTTAAACAAAAACATTCGATTCACATATTTAAATAATCCAAAAAAAACAAAAGACAAAACACACACGTCGGGAGAAGTGGTAGTTGTTGATCAGTGACCACGTCCTCTTCTGCCCGGTCCTGACGCTAAGATCCTCATCAAAGGACGTCGACTGCACGAGCTTCTCTTCACCTTGGTCGCCGTCGATTGATCATGGCCGTTGATAACTCTGAACGGCTCCGATCGTACTACTCTGCAATCAACTCTCTCAAACATCAACGACGAGCCCACCAATAACAAGATCATACACAGCACGAACATATTCTTTTTCTCCATTTTTGTAACTTGTTTTTTGGGTTTCTTTCTCTTTGGGATTAAGAAGAATGCTTCGAGATCCCTGAAGAAGATCCCTGAAGAAGTTTGCAAGTCTGATGCAACTTTGGCTCTAATGAGATATTTTCTTTTTTTTCATTTATTTATGCTATCTTGTTTTTTATTTTATTTTTTCAAGATAGTATAGTTTTAGGTCCAGCTATAGTGTAAAGCCTCAACATTTCATTTTCAATGATATTTACAAATTTATCAAAAAAAAAAAAAAAAAATGCTTCGTGAATTTTTTTTTTTTTTATCTAGGAGATAGTGTGTGTGTTTAAACAAAGGGCATTAATTCTTGACCAAGTATGTTAGACTATTTCATTGTGTTTTTGTAGAGTATACTACGATTTGTGTGTACCTATATTTTCCGCATTTGTATACCTTTGTACATCTATTATGCAATACAAGAGACTCTCACATTCCTACATTGCATTTTTACATGTTTAGTTAAACTCGTCAGGCTTTTAATCGTTTACTATTTATATAAGCCAGACAAAACAATTGATGAATATTTCATATTACAAGTGAATATCAGATGAGTTTCTCCAACTCCCTGCTTCTCCATAAGAGATGTTGTTGAACCATGTCTCTATGACTTTCATAAAAGGTTGAAAATAACATCCATTTCGTAATTAACAAAAAAAAAAGACTTCATTTTGTAAGAATATTTTATTAAGAATTTTGTCCTTAAAACAAAATTTTATTTAACCAAGTCATATCAATTTCCTTTATTCTTCCTCTATGGCAATATCCTTTCACAATTTATCTCCCTTTTGTAGGTTTGTAGAGACCGAGTCTAAATATTATCTTCTTAGGGCTTGATTCTCCCGCTAGCATCCGCCTAGCGGTTGTTAGCGGTCGGTTACGGTTATTAGCGGTTGGTACCAATCATATAAACCGCTCCATACCGCTTCAAACCGTTCGAAATCGCTGGATTTTAAAAGCTTCTTCCCGCAAGCGTTTGCGGTTGCGGGCGATTGCGGTTGGTTTAAAAAAAGAAAAATAAATAAATTAAAATATATATTATCAAGTCTTATATATATTCACGTTAATTGTAAAAAAATAATAATTATCTAACTTTAATTTTCTAATATTAATAATTATTTTTGTTTTCAATATAAAATTTATTTGAATAACTATTTATGGTTTTTAATCATTAATCGTGTTTAAAATTTTTATACTTTTTCATAATTATAGTTTTTGGTGTTTATACTTTTTTATAATCATATATTAAATTTCTTTTGGTAAATTTTGGTTTAACCGCTATAGTATCTGCTGATCAACCAGTCGTGAATCTCCCGCAAACGCACCCGTTTTCAACCGCTAAACCAGTCGGTCAAAACGTTAAATAACGCTTGAAACTTCATCCGTCCGCTTCCTCAAATTCCCACAATCGCAACTGTAACCGCTGCGTTTAAACCAGTCAAGCCCTTAATGGAGAGTATGTTGGAGTGGTTATAGCTTTGCCTCGATGTAAATTTGCTAACCGTGCAAGCTATTTATGATGACGAGTTGGTTTTGGATTGTTTGAAGTTTGATTTCAATGCTAAATCTTATTCCCTTAAGTGAAAATTTCTTGGAGTTTCCGATCCTTCTATCAAACAAAATTTCAATATTTTATCTTTATCTTTCGTGTATTGTTGTATTGGATGGATTCTCTTCATTTGAGGTTTCAAATATAAATGAAATCGTTGGACGAAAAGTAAAAATAAAAAGAAGAATTAAAAATAGTTAGCAAACACGTAGTTAAAAGTGGAGTTTTATTGGTCAGTAGGAGACCAATGGGTTTCTTAGAGAGCTGTCTTCTTTTGACTTTTGTTTCCTTCGTAGTCGGTTCGAATTAACACGGTCTGAACTGTGAAGTCATCAGAGCCGATTCATCTACGTTAGGATCGCAAAAAGAGAAAAAATCAAAACGGTGAAATTATAGCCGCTGACGACTGGTGGACGTGAACGCGACAGCATCACCACTCTCTTAACCAAATATGTTTCAACTTTTGCTATTGTTTTCTAAACACAGGCTTTGATTGGTAATATCATTCTTCTTTAGCTAATCAAAAAGACAAAAAAAAACCGTAGATCCAATGGCATTAAAAGTATATTAATTGTGATTACATACATAAATATTCGAAGTACCTACATAACTGTTTTATAATGTTACATGTAAGCACAACAGAAAAATCGGGCAAAACCAAAAATTGCATTGGCTTCTTGCACCTTAACTTCTTCTTCTTCTTTTTTGTTAGAATGCCACTCTATCTCTTTCAGTAGATCTTGTTGCTCTTTTTGACCATCCCCATAACTGTTCTTTTTTTTTTTACTTTCAAATCTTTCAATATTTAATAGTTGAGGATATTGAAACTTTAGCATGAATAAATTACACCAAAAAGAAGTTAGTCCAATTATTTGCATTGAGGTATCATTCTCTCTCGATCTTTTGTCATTTCCTTTTCACCTCTTTTATTTACCAATGTATACACAAAGGAGAAGCCTCAAACTCCCACTTTTATTAGTATAGATTCCAATCAAACATTTACATGCAATGGATGGATAAAGGCATTAAAACTTCATATGACGTGTCACATCTTCTTGAATGAATAATTCTTTCCTTTTACTTTTTGGCTGAAACAAAACTTTAGATTTACACCTTTAAAAAGCTATATAATCTAACAAAACTAATTGTATATATATAAAAAAAAAAAACACTTAGGCGAGATCAAAATAGTAGTAGTGATTGTTGATCAGTGACCACGTCCTCTCCTGCTCGAACCAGACGCTAACGGGAAAGCAAAACTTGTCGAGCTGTTCTTCACCTTCATAGTCGCCGACGATTGATCATGGTCGTTGGTATCTCTGAACGGTTTGGATCGTAGAGCTCTGCAATGACCTCTCTCAAACATCAACGATGAGCTCACCAATAATAAGATCATACACAGCACAAACACATTCTTGTTCTCCATTTTAATAACTTTTTTATCGGTTCTCCTTCTCTTCGTGATTAAAAGGAATATATGGCTTCGTGAGTTTCTTGTATATTTATGGTTTTTTGTGTGAGTGTATAAGCAAAGGGCATTAATTCTTTACCGAAAATGTTTGACCTTTAATCATGTTTATCGCGTTTTTACATATTTAATTAAATTCTTCATGCTTTAGTCCTTTAATTAAATACGCTTTATGTTCTTTTTTATTTAATGTTTTAGGAGGAAAATTTTGTTATAAATTAGATGATGTTTTTAGTTTTTCATACAAATTTTTGTATTTTTATTGGTTTTGACGATTTATATTATGTATATTATTTTGTTGAATTAGTTTGGATAGATAATGAATACTGTTTTAATTTAGAAATCAATAAAAATTATATAATTTTTTAATCTATGTGCAATATTTTCCTAAAACAGTAAATAAAAAATAACGGATGAAGTAGTATAAGCCAGACAAAACGAATGATATGTATTCATATTACAAGTGAATATCGAATGAGTTTCTCTTTCTCTAACTACCTTCATCTCCATAAGGATGTTGTTGAACTCTGTCTCTATGACTTTCATAAAAAGTCTTGTGAGAAATTAAAGAAGTAGGAGTTGAAAAATGGTTAGCAAACACGTAGTAAAAAGTGGAATTTAATTTAATTGGTTAGTATAGGAGACCAATGGGTAGTAACTTATTGAAGAAACAACAATATTTCTTAAGTGTGACAATGTCAACTTTTGACTTTTATTTTTCTTCGTAGTCGGTTTGCATTAACACGCTGTGAAGTCATCATCAGACCGATTCACCTCCTTAGTTGCTGACGAGTGATGACGCGACAGCATCTACCAACTCACACTCTTCTTAACCAAATATATATGTTTCAACTTTTGCTTTTGTTTTTATTGAAAAGTCTTTTCAATGAAATGGATTTTGATTAGAGCTAAGCGTGGAGCGGTATTCTATAGTTGTTTTAGATATCCATGATTTGTTAATTTGTTTAGAAGACGGTAATATCTTTGATTCGTATTCATTCACTGAGTTAGCTGGATATTTGTTGTATCTGAATATATGTTACGATAGCGGTAAAAATATATATGTCATGTTTTGAGTATTCGGCTATATTACAATTCATTAAAGAATTTTATTAAAATTTTGAGTTTTAAAAAAAAACAACTATTACAAAAGAAACTATTTTTGAATACATTTTTTTATCTTTTTATTTTTTATTTTGAACATAATTTAATACTTGTATAATTCTATTTAGATGAAATTTTGGATGGTTAAATTTATTCGTCGATATAATATTGGGAGAAATACTCATCAATTAGAAACTAATCTTTGCTCCTGGATCTTCTATATGTTATATCATATTCGACATATGTCATTGGATGGAAAATCATCATTAAAATGGTAAATAACCTTGGGAAGACAAGATAAGGTGATAAACTTTGAAGCCTATCGAGTATTAATCGTAACTAAAAAGAAGAGAGAAAGAGAGATTATGAGCCGTTAATGGCGGAGAGGAAGATGAGAGAAATATAGAAATGTGATTAATTGATCTTTTATAATATAAGGAACCCATATGATGGGATCCAAGATTAAATACAACTTAACTTAGGGTAACATAAGCTTTAAACGACATAACTTTGATACTTAATAAAATGAGAAATCTTCTCTTATAAACAGAGTCTCTCCCTGCCTTTGTCTCTCTCTCGATACTTAGCCACTTTTGGATTCTTCCTTCTTCATAAAGGTTATGGAAATCCATAACCTATCATAAGGATATTCTCAAGAAATCTCTAACGCTCTTGTTAAAAAAGGCAACATGACTGGACATAGAGTAGCTTTCATGTTTTAGTTTATATATGTATTAATTCATTCGATGAGTCGGTACTCTTAGATTTAGCCAATCAGTTTTGTTTTGAAAATAAAAACAAAATCTAACTAACCGGATTGAACCAAAGTTTTGTTAGTACTCCCAAGATTAATCATAGCTGTTAGTTGTATATTTTTAAGTTAAATTATGTTTCGCTATTTTCATAGTTAAATAGGAGATCTAAAATGCAGGAGTGCTTTGTCTATAAAATATTTGCTAGGATAGGTAGGTAAATATCATTAGTTTTAAGATGGAAGAAAGTTACTTGGCAGATCTTAGAAGTAGAACATGTCGCTTGGGAAGTCTGGGTTTTTTTGGTCACAGATCTGTAGCGGTCCTTAATGTAGACTCCAGTTCTCCGGTTGAGTGATTGTTGCAAAAGTACGAAATTTGAACTTTGAAAAATCTTTAAAAATCGGCCTTTAAATCCAATTTGGAAATGAAGAGTATTTTTTAGCAAACGACACAGTCCTCTGACCACAAAAAAAAATATGGATAATCTTTTTTTAAATAGTTATTTTAAGTTAAAATATATTAATAAATAACATAATAGAAAAGTAACCACACCTACAAGCATTGAACTACACTATATATTCTAAATATTTTTTATCACATGCAGTTTAACCATTTACTTGTTTTTTTTCTAAACCTCTTATGTTTTATATTTACTTGTAAACATGGTATACATAGTATGCTAAATTATTAATGTCAAAATTATATGATATTAAAAATAATAAAAATATAAGTAAATATATGATTTTCGTCATAGTATAATAAATTATTAATGTTTGTCAATAATATATAGTTTTGGAATAACAACTGTTCTCGCTTCTGAAACTTATTATTGTAAGGGTCAAGAACATAAAACAAAAATTCTATGGATACCAAATTAAAACAAACAGATCAATCAAGAACTTGTGAGAGCAAAAATCTCTCCTTCCTAGTCAAATAAGTAAAAGTAGATTTGTTCCACATTTAATTTTTGCAATTCCATGAATGCAACCTTTTTTAATACCAAAGATTTTACACAATGCACCTTAAATGGCACAAACTTCAAGCGGAAACAAAAATCTCTGATTTTTTTTGGGTCGGATAAAACTTCAAGCATGCTTCGATTTTCTCCAAGAACAACAAATGAACTCACACACATAGAATGAGCCTTTAGGTAAAAACACCATTTTGAAAACAATAAACACGCAAAAATAAGAACGAATTTCAAATCAAAAACAATTATTCATAATCTTAGGTACTTTTTGGTAGAGAGGATACTAAGATAGGCTTTTTGGTAGAGAGGATACTAAGATGAAAGAAAATGAAAAGCAAATGATGCACAATTGTAATAAGGATCGAGAAAAAAAGGCTATTTCAATAAACAAATATACAAAAACGATTGAGTTTATATTTAAACTCATTTCTTGAGTAGGGGAAGCTGTTTTTTAATTTTAATCTACGAAAAAGATAATAAAAATATATATAAAAACTATATAAAACTTTATTTTATATCACTTTTTTATAAAATTAAATCATGACATATGCTGCAATCTAAAATTATTAACACGGTGATAAATGATAAATTTTATATAATTCAAAACTGAACGTATAAATCAAAATAAATACTCTAAAGTACAAAACATAATAAAGAAAATTATAAACATGATGAGATATAAATCTTCGATAATTCAACGATGAAAATAGAAATTAAAATAAATAACCTAAAAATACTACAATTATAATTGACAACCAAAAAAATAGAAAATGAAGTAAAAAAGTATTTCAGAAAGAAAAAAAATATATATGGATATCACATAGTCCTAAATGAATAAATAAACTCAAATAAATAAACCAATATTTCTAGTAATTTTGATAATTCTTTTTCATTTTACGATAATTTACTATCTTATTTTTATTTACCTTCTCAAAACGAAAGTAATTGTAATTTTATTTAGTTTTAGGATTTAATTTAATTAAAAAAAATTTTTTGATACATTTTCAAAAAAGTAATGTAATTCTTTTTTTTAGAAATTTGTAATTTATCATATAATTTTTTCTTTTTACACGTGTCAAAATCTGATTGATAGAAATGACACGTGTTTGATCATGCAAATCACTAACTTTAAAAACCAATTATATGTATATTAAGATATAGTTAAACTATTAAATTTTAATGAATTTGGTTTGATATTCCCGAGCTTGTCACGAATGATATGAACTCTTGTTTAACAAGAGAAGTCTCACTAGAAGAGGTCAAGAAAGCAGTTTTTGAGATGAACCCTACGAAGGCTCCAGACCAGACGGGATGACAACTATCTTATACCAGAAATTCTGGCATATAATTAGTTCGAACTTAGTTGCCACGATTCACACCTTCTTTGCTACATGATTACTGGATCCAAGATTAAAGAAGACCAACATTTGTCTAGTGCCAAAAGAAGGTAGGTCACATGATATGCTAGGTTTCCGACATATAAGTTTGTGCAAAGTGGGTTATAAGATAATTTCTAAAGTGCTCTCAAACCGACTCAAGAGGCTACTCCCGAAATTGATTTTGGAGACTCAATCGCCTTTGTGGCGAGAAAATTAAGCACAAATAACTTTCTCATAGTCATAGCCCATGAAATTTTTCATGCCCTCCGCTCTAATCCTACATGCCAAAAGAAGTTTATGGCCATCAAAACAGATATGAGCAAGATCTATGAACGAGTTGAATGGTCTTTCCTTAGAGCTTTATTGGTTAAGCTTGGTTTTTCCCCACGATGGATTCAGTGGTGTATGTCTTGCATTGAGACAGTCTCCTACCATGGTTTAAGAAACGGTGAGGCGAAAGGAAACATTGTCCCTCCTCGAGATATTAGACAAGGGGATCCTTTATCCCCTTATCTTATCATCTTATGTACGGAGGCCTTTATTGCTAGGATAAAGCAGGCATAGTGGTCATGTAAGATCCAAGGTCTACACCTCTCCCGGGCCGCCCATCCCCCCCCCCCCCTCTCCCCTCCCCTCCCGCCCCCAGTATCCCACCTATTAATTGGAGGTAGTAGCCTTTTTTATGCAAAAGCAGATTGCCAACAGAGTTCAGATCATATCCATTTTCCGCCAATATGGCGAGGCGTCACGGCAACAAATAAAATTTTCTAATTTTCTATCATGTTTGAGAGCAAGGTCCGACCCGAAGGGGGAATGGGAACTTACTTAGGTTTCCTAGAAAAGATCCATGGTTCTAAAGCCTAGGTCCTTTCCTTCGTTCAAGACCGTGTAAAGAGTAGAACAAATACTTGGTCGGCCAAGTTTTTCTCAAAG